ACAAACTGGATAACCAATGTAAAAATGTATCAAGATAAAGTATTTATTCATCTTAGTTACCAGCTAGAAGGAGAGTTCAAGTAGTGAGTCTCTATTATTTTAAATAAATAATAAAATTGAAAGGTCTGGAGAAGTTAATAAATTGAATAACTTTTAATAATACAAAATTACATGGATTAAAGACCTAATAAGGCTTGCATAAGTCAATGTGACTTTGAGATTGTTTTCACCACTTCCATTCAGTTAGTCTTTTTGTGAAAAACAGAGTAAATCAATTCCATCAACGTCCTGTTATATAAATTAATCGATCAGTGTTAGCAAGATAAATAATTAGTTCAAATGCTGAAAAAAAAGATTGAATATATAAGTTTTTAATAACTTCATAACAATAATAATAATGACAGTATAAAATAATTTTTGTGAAAGTGAAATAAGAATACAAAAGGCGGGGGATACAGTTGTCCCTTTTTACTGCCTCTGTCTTGTGAACTACAAATGTTACACAACATCGACTTCTTTTCAATACAGCCTGAGACATTAATCAAATTGCAACACTACGGATCATCATCGAACAGAGCTTGGATTGGCAGTCACCTCTCTATCTCAGCTTTATCGACTTTGAAGAGGTCTTCGACAGACGACGTTGATCGAGAGGTGACTTGGCAATTACTTCGCTACTACGGGGTGCCGCCGACAATTATACATCTCATCCAACAGTTGTACGATAGTGCTACATGCCAAGTAATCCACAACGGAAAATTCACGGAATCCTTCAAAGTGAAGATGGGAGTACGACAAGCTGGCTGCCTACTATCTTCAATGACTTTCCTGATTGCGGTAGACTGGATAATGCGACAGGCATAAAATGGACCCATACAAAAGCCTTGAAGAAGGTCTGGACTTCGCCGATAATATATGTCTGATTCCCCACAAACCGAAAGATATGCAAGTGAAAAGCATCAAGTTGGCAGACGAAACATCCAGAGAAGATAGGGCTTCAGGTGAACATAGAGAAGGTCAAGATAGAGGTGATGAAGATTCCTGGGCAACACCAACAGCAACAACAACAGACAACAATCAGCATAAATGGGAAAAATCTGAAAGAAGCAACCTCCTTTACCTGCCGAACTAGGAAGCATCGTTTCAACTACCGGCATACGGAACTGATGAGGATGTCAAAGCAAAAATCGGGAAAGTAAGGTGAGCTTTCACTTCTCTCAAGTCTGTGTGGAGGTCAACAGCACTCAGTATCAAAAATAACATCCGGATTTTCAACTCCAATGTGAAGTCAGTGCTACTCACTAGACGGATCGGAGACCTGGTGCGTCATAAAGAGCATCTCAAACAAACCACGAACCTTCATTAACAGTTGTCTTCGCTCAATACTCAAGATCAGATGGCCAACCAGAAAAGATCAGCAACAGGGATCTCTTGGAGCGAACCAACCATGAACGGATTATACAAAAAATATGCAGTAAAAAATAGAGATGGATTGGTTATACTCTGAGGAAACCATCAAGTGACACCACACACCAGGTAATTACTCAATTGGAACCCGAATGGGAAGTGGCAAGTCGGTCGTCAGTGCGAGAGTGACATGGAGGAGGTCATGTGAAGAGTAAATGTGGGCAGACATGGACCCAGGTTAAAATGTTGGCAGAGAATCAAACGCAATGGAGACTTGGGCGGCTGAAGCCCTCTGTTCCCCTAGGAACCAAAAGGGACGATAATAATGATAATCAGACATACCTCAAGAGAATCTTTGCTTTCGAATACATGCTGGGTCGTCAGTAGAAAAGGGTTACGAAATAGTCGTATATATATATATATATATATATATATATATATATATATATATATGAAAAACCAAGGCAGTTAAGACAAAAAAATATTTATAACAGGTGCAACATTCAATTTGACCATGTATTAAATATATGCTGAAAATAACATAGCAAAAGTAAATATATAATTCTTTGTAAATAGTTAATGATATGACTATAATATCGCAGTACGGCTGTCTGGATTCCATAAAGTATTCTTATAATATCGAGTTAACTAACTTATGACGTAAAACAAGTATTTCATTGCCTATAACTCTCAAAGAAGTCTTTACATAATATTGCTTTTTAAGGGGTGCAGAAGTAAATGTAACTTTCAAGTATTGGTTTTGTAAGGATTGGATTTGATTGGTTGGAAGGTTTCATCATGAGCAGGGAGTACTAGACAGCTGTTTCCTTCGTCCTAGTTTGGGATTCTTCATGAGTATGCACCCGCCGGGATTCGAACTCAGGACCTTCTGGTTGCTGGGCAAGCTCATAGACAATTAAGTCAGTGGGACCCAATCGAATGGCGCATGGACTCTAAATTCTAATGTCAGCTCATGATGAAACCTTCCAACCAGTCAAACAAGATCCCTACAAAACCAATATTTGAAAATTGATCTGATGCTTACTAGTGAATGACCCTTTTCAGGCAGTTACTTTGGGTTCTAGTGGGAACCCGTGACCAGGTGAGGCAGTAACTTATTAAAAAAGTTATTGCCAAGTGGTTGCTGTATGTCATTAATTGGCTAAAGTTAAAATTCATGGGCCGGCCATTGGATGGGTAGGTCCCACTGGTTTAATGGTCTACGACTTTGTCCTGTAACCAGAAGTTCCTGAGTTCGAACCCTGTTGGGTGCGTACCGACCAAGAGTCTCAAACTAGGACAGAGGAAACAGTTGTCCAGTACTCCCTTCAGGTTTTCCAATGGTTCTCTAACTGATATCAGCTCATGATGAAACCTTTCAACCAAAGGTAACTTTGTCAATAATCAAAAGTTTTCTTCATTTAGTTATCTTTTATTTTCTTTATGACTCAATGGATACCTCCAGTCTTTTGCTTGGTTTTTATTCTACTGTGCTTGTATATCAAATATCTGATCCACCAATAATTGATGTTTTCTTACCAGGGAGAATAGCCCAGCTTATTTTAGGTAGACAATAATGATGTCTTTCAAACGTGTTTTCTGATATTTAAACTTTATTTAAGGCAAAAGTTGGCGTGCTTAACTAAGCAGACCTGACACTTTCCACCGAAGTGATAAATATAACCACTCTGACCTATTTATTGAAAGTCATTAAAAAAAATGCTTCAGCGTACCAATACATCCTTTTCTTACAATAATTAATAATAACTGCAGGTTGATTTGCGAAAGAATGAAAGAAGTGAACCCTGAATTTGCCTTTATTAAAAAAAAAACACATTATAATTATACGAAATGTATTCAGTGCGCATTGAATCGTTAAATATGACTAATAAATTTCTTTAAGGCAGAGGTGAGATCCCTGTAATCTACGTGAGAAGATACGAAAACAGGTTGTTATTTTTAATGTTTGGCCCTACAAGATTCAGTAAGATTACGTTTCTTTCTCGAAAATAAAATTTTAAAGGATATTGAAGGTAATTGTGTTTGTATTTAAATGTGTCATTCAAATCTGTTTTCATTCATTCATTCGTTCATTCAGTAGGAACATATTTAGCGCCGGTGACAACTTTAATTTATACCTTGTCTTTTACAAAATAACAACCTATTACCTAAGTATATCTTAATTATTCCTGATAATAAAGTAGTAGCTAGTAATTACCACTTGCACGAAAATGTTTTTTTTGAATTTAATGACTATATTAATTTTGACAAAATTAAATCACTATGTTTAAAACAGTTAGTGTGTCATAAATAATTACATATTTTAACCATCAAAACAAAAAAGAAGCTGTAGCTTAACATACAAAGGAAACTTGTTCGGTCTTTGTCCCTTTCTTGGTCTTAATTCTTTCTTTCTTGTTGAAAACTTTGTAGCGGTAAATAATTCCCCAAAATTATTGACCATAGGAATAGATTATGTCTAAGAGAAGAATTACATCGTGACCATAAGAATCATCAGTGAGCACTGGATGCTGACCCTCAATGTTTAAGTCGACTTGTTTAGCATCCCTGCCGTTTGGTACTCCGTCGTGTCACTTTCGTGCACGATAACTAGCTTGCTTAGCTTCCGCTTCAATCCGCGATTTGGTTCCGAAATATATCTCGTAATCTGGACAATCAATTGTGGTCTTTTGCTTTGCCTTTGGTACACGAGAAAAGAATACTGTAGAAGTTGTAGGTATAAGATCTTGCGTTAATATACTCGGTACTCTTCTCGAACGTCTATACCGTCAACCTTTAAACCTTCAATGAGATAGGCTAGAAATCACTCCACTTCTTCCACGCGACTTAATTCTTAGGTAATGTCAACTGTTTTGTGATTTCATGTTTATTTTGAACATCACTCGTTCTTTTAGCCTTTTGCTTTGTTACGTAACACCTTACATCTATAATTTTCAAGTGTTGGTTTGTTGAGATTTGATTGGATATAGAGTTGATCAGGGTTGAAGTGACTTCATTTAGACAGCTATGGGAAAACCGAGGAGTGCTGGAGAACTGTTTTGTCATAGTTTAGTAATCTTCAGAATTACGCATCCACAAACCCACCGCGGTTCGAAACCAACACCCTCAGGTTACAAGGCAAGCTCGTTTACCATTCAGCAGTTTGAGATGACCCAATGAGCCATGAATTCCAACTTTTTCTATTTCACAATATATATATATATATATATATATATATATATGTTCGTTTTTAATACACCTTCAGAAGATTTTGATTAGTAGTCACTAATCTTAGTAACTACGCCTTTATTCTATTAGTCACCATGTATTATAAGTGTGAAATGACTGGACACATTAATGAAACAAATTGTGCTGTACCAGCTGCAGTGAATAAATTCTGAGAAAACATTTTCTTCGCAGAATCACGTGGTTTCTCTTTCTTCTATATATTTAGAAATACGTAAGCAAATTCATTCCGAATGTATGACTACAAATGGAAAACAATAGCGTTTCTGTTATTAAAATATTAAGCACAAAAACAAATATATAGAATATACAGATTTACAGAATTAACACCATACCTTCATAATCCATTCTGATTGGTTAACATTTCATTAACCAATCATCATACAGTTGTCTTGATTTATTTTATTCCCCAGGTTCTATCATTTTCCGGTGAATCATTTCAATTCTACTTACATCCACAAAAATACTGTATTTCAAAACTGCTGTTTATTTTCTATGGACGTTTTTGTTGTAGTCCAGTGAAAATATTACGTATATCACTATGATTAAGCTGGAAAAATATTATTATTATCATCATTATTACTATTAACAGTAACGGCTAAATAGGTAAGTCAATGACACTTAAATAAAGGGCTTTTTATTCCTTAATGTTTCCAATGGGCCATTGGGATTTCATTTTGAGCCTTGGAGTTTCACTAGCTGTGATGTCTCTTTTTACGGGCTGGGTTTGCTAGCCATAAGTCCAATCCTTTCTCTATTCAAGTGTTGGTTTGTAGGGATTTGATTGGTTACAGGATTTCATCATGACCTGACATTGGTTAGAGAACCATTGAAAAACCATCACAGAATACTGGACAGCCGTTTCCACCGTCCTAGTTTGGGACTCTTCATGAGTATGCACCCACCGGGATTTGAACCCAGGACCTTCTAGTTGCAAGGTAAGTTCGTAGACCATTAAGCCACTGGGACCCAATCCAATGTCCAACCCATGAATTCCAACTTCTGACCATTCCGCTCACTGTCAAACTCTAACACACAAAAAAACTGGTTGTTACTATTTATTGTAATTCATGTATATATATATATATATACAGGATTGTACAGCTATGAAAATGAATTATTAATTTGATATCATATATTTGCATAGCCTGTGTAGTGTAGCTCGCTTACAAGCCTTTATTTTTCAGGAGATTAACATTTTAAAGAAGCCACTCTTATGGAGCATTTTTGTTCAAAGAATAGTAGACATTTACAAATGGACCAGAAGGCCCTGGGTTCGAGCCCCAGTGGGTGCGTACTGATGAAGAGTCCCAAACTAGGACGATGGGAACAGCTGTCCAGTACTCCCTGAAAGTTTTCTAATGGTTCTCTAACCAATGTCAGCTCATGATGAAATTCTGTAATCCAATCTTTTCTCTTTACCGGGCTTACTGCCGACTAAGCGAAGTTAGGGAGTGCGTCAACCTGATCACACACATGGTTGGCAAGCATTCTGCTCCTGAATCACCGGCTGTTTTAGAGGTAAATTTAGCTGAGACGATTATTCCTCGGTGAAATTCATATTTTAATTACTACCTCTTAATAAAAATGTTCTTAATAAACTCTAGTCACTAGTTAGTAGAGCAATACTGAATCAAATGTTTTTCTGAAATTTTCGTTTGATTCTTCAGGTAGTTTTTGTTTTTCACTACTACTGAACCTTACAGTCTGTTAATTATTATTATTTTAAAATACTCGTATTTAAAGCTTACTGGTTTTTTATGCGCCATCTGGTTACCATCAGCGGCACCATTAAGATTTTTACAAAAGACGATACTTATGCGTCCCTGAATACACGTCTACATCTCTGCATATTGACATTTAGTGAACATAGAAGTCCAAATATCTGCACAGAATTACCAGTCATGAATAAGGGTGTACACGAAACAATCTGAATATCTTCTGTTAACTCCCTATCTATCTTTGGGTATAATGATCTTTTCAACTAAGATTCATTTTATTACAACTATTAAAACAATTAGTCCCTTTGATAACGCGATTAATCTGAATGGAAATCCAGCATCATCCATTGCAAAACACTTATTAATGTCTGGTCACAAAATAAATATTAATGACTGTTTCACAGTTATTTCACATAACTCTAATTCAAGGCTGGTTATTTAAGGTGATGGAAGCACTTTGGATTAATCACATACAGCCTAAACTGTGTGTACAAAAATCAATAGACTTCAATCTTCGCCTACCCTGGACTACATGACCTATCTAAATATGATTGGTCATTAGTATGTACTTTTGTTTTTATTTAACTGAGTAATTTTCATGAACTTTATTTTATCATTGTTAACCATGTTAGTTGTAAAGCGGTTGTAAAGAAACTACGAAATGATATCATTTCGCGAAATTTGTCTTCTTAATGCCTTATTCAAATTTATTACAACTAGTCAGCTAGAAAGGCTGAACACAGTTAATAATACAGGTCACAAAATCTCTTTAGTATAGATAATGAAACCAGCTAACCAGTGTGTGACATCATACTTCTCCGTTACTTCAGTGGTAACCTTTGAAATAAGTGATCCCGAAATTTAAAACAATAAAGATCAAAAATTACGTTTTTTTTAATTTTTCCTTCACGTTTCCAGTGGAACATAGGGCCTCTAGTTAATAGCCTGAAGTTTCTGTGGCAGTATTTATTTTTACAGGATGGGGTTGCTAGCCCCATGCCCAACCTTTCCTCTCTACCAACATTATTTCGGGTTTAGCGAGGTAAAGGAGTGCGTTGGTGGCCGGGGATCGAATCCCGGACCATGTGCGTCCGTGGCACAGTGGTTAGGACTCTCGCCGACCATGCACATGGTCCGAGGTTCGATCCCCTCCCAACGCACACCCGATATCTATGGTCGGCCTGCGGATTTTGGGCTACCGATATCCACGCTGAAAATTCCATACTTGTATCAAAAATACAGTGTGGAATCAAGCTGTAATCAAAAAATAAATAAAAATAAAAAAGTAAATGTGCGTGGTCGGCGAGCGTCCTAACCTCAGCGCCACCGTCGCCAAAGATTATATAAGAATCTTAATTGCTCCAGTTATTTAAAATTGTTTACGTTTTGGACGACGACATAAATAATTTTATATTAATGTTTTAACTATAAAAATACGTATTAGAATCTTTGGAGAAGTATATGTTTGTGTAACAGGTGGTGATCAGAGTGAAATGAAAACGTGTGTTGCTGTAAGACTCGAACTAGACAATTCCGCGTTACTTAATCCAGTCAGCTATCAGTTGAGTTACGAGACCCAGCCGACAACCAACTTGTATTTCCCCTACAATCATTACACAGCATATCCATCCACCTGTCGTGTGAGTGTGTTATATGCAGCTGTATGTTTAATAACTTCCACCATCAAGGCTTTCTTCTGTTAGTTTTGATTGTGCTGAATTGGAAAAAAGGGGAACAAGTTGCTGACTGTTGGTGAGATTAACTGGAATAACCCCGAAATTGATAGACTGTAACTGATGTAATGGGTTATGATTTTAGTGTTATGCTCAGCTAGTTAGCAGATAGTTCTCGTAGCAGAATCAACAAAGCTCTGATACGATACTGATGAGCTAGTCAGTTCGAATCCTCTGGCCACTTAATTTCTTATTTCACTATCAGTCGTCGTCTTTTGCATCAAAAGCGCCCTGTCAATCCTTGGTTATGCTGGATAGTATCATCAACAAGTATATGTATTTTTTTCTATAGTTTGGTTTGTAAGGGTTAGTTATGTTTTTTACTATTTGATCACGGATTGATATCAGTTAGAGAACCATTGGAAACAAGCAGGGAGTACTGGACAGCTGCTTCCTCCGTCCTAGTTTGAGAATCATCGGCAGTACGTGCCCACTGGGATTCGAACCCAGGACCTTCCGGTTATAAGGTAAGCTCGTATACCATTCAGCCACTGGGACCCGACTCAATGGCTCATGAATTCTAACTTCTACTAATTTGTGATTTAGCGTGACCCCAACCATTGTTGTTGGTGGGACATCCATCCACACATGTGACATCTAATTAGGCCTCAATGGTCACGACTTCTCACTAGAACCCCAGGAAGCTCCATCATGTAGCGAGTCACTAGTGAGAATCAGATTAACCTTCTACAGTTTGGTTTTTAAGGGTTAGTTATGTTTCTTTGGTAGAAGTTAGAATTCATGCATTGGCCATTGAGTCGGGTTCCAGTGTCTGAATGGTATACGAGCTTACCTTGTAACCGGAAGGTCCTGGGTTCGAATCCTAGTGGGTGCGTACTGCCGATGATTCCCAAACTAGGACTGAGGAACCAGCTGTCCAGTACTCCCTGGTTTTCAATGGTTCTCTAACTGATATCAATCGTGATCAACTAGTAAAGTATATATATATATATAATTTGTACATTAACCCAGCTTATAAAAGTCTGCACTTGGTATTATGCATTTTAAATTGTTTAGCCTATCGTGCTAATTGAACTCTCTTACTCATGTTTATGACGAGGTCACCAAGCTAAAAGAGTTGTTATCATGGTGCGTCGTGAACTGATGCTGAATATTTGGAGTCAGCTGACTAGAAAGTAGGTTTCCTGATGCTTACCTATCGGTTGTCTCTAACAATCTACTACTAAAAGGCTTAAATGTTTCAAGGCTTCTGTATCATGAATTTTTATCCTTATTTTCATGTGAAAACATGTACAGTAGTGAAATAACGTTTTTGGATCACACATAATATAAGATCTTTACCAAAAACGGACATACAGTTTGCTAAAGAAAGAACTTTTTCATGATTATATTGCACTCAGTACGTTAATGATGAAGTCAACAATACTAAATCACATCAGAAAATCTTTTGGTTGAATCAGATAGCTAAATATGCAAGAAATTCATACTTCTTTGTATGTACTAAGGTGTATTCACAGAGAGGATTTTCAGAGGGACCTTAAATAATTTGTGGTTGAATACTAATTGGTTAATTCGGAAAGTTAACAAAGTTTGTATACAATGGACAGTAAGTGCAGCAGTGTGGACCACTTCAGATATTGGCATCAATACCTAACTGCGATTTATGGCTTGATTCAAAGAATGTTAGTCACTTCACTCACGGTTAATAGCTTGAAGGTTGCTTGGTAATAATGAAATCTAAATGTTTTTAATTCTACGCAAGTAACTGTATGATAGTTCCGCTATATCAATTAACTTTTAAATGATATACTTTAGTAAAAGACCATGTTTTTACATATTTTCCTTGTTCTCATATATTCAAAATTGTTACAGTTACACAAGTACTAGATACTGATTTGACTTGATAACTCCAACTGTGACTAAAGTATGAATGAGTTCTTGAAACTTCACAAAGCCTTAAAAGCAGCTCTCTGAGACAAAACATTAAAGACAGCTATCCCAGATAAGCTTATTGAGTAAACATGAACTAATCTAAGCACAATCTCCAAATGGATAGGCAAACTGACCGATGGTCATGCTACTGAGAGTATTTATAATGCTGAAAGAATAGATGATAAGTTGAACCATAATTTCCACGTTGTAACAAAGTTAAAAGCGAATGGAAATTGGATAATTGAAACTATATTACTTA